AACGGTTACCTGGTTTTTCAATTTTATTTCAATGTGAGAAAAAAGTTAAATCTCAGAATTCTGACTTTTTTCTCTGAATTCTGACTGAATTCTGACAGCTAACAAATATGTAGCATGTTTAGCCGTAGCCATGTCTGCTTTAGAGTCTATCTCTCTTGTTTTAATCACCTTCTGTTCTTCCATTAATCAAACAGCATCAGCAGGGAACCTCAGGGACGGAAAAAGTCGCCTAAATCCATCATTTTCCACCAATGTGTTCCTGTTTCTCCCAAACTACTGAAGCTGAGAGCTCCACATCTCTGCCTTCATGGTGCCCATCTACGTTAAAATCCACAATTCTCAGATTAAAGTCAGAATTCTGACTTTTTTCCCATATTAAACTGAAATAATATTTAAAAATCATTTAACTTTTTTTTTCAGTGGCCCTAATACTCTTCCGTAATATTATAATAACCTAATATCCTCTATAGTTATGTACTATAATTACTATTTATTATGAACCCTTTTAAAGGGTTAATTCGAGGGTCCCTCTTATAGATCACTCAGTGAAATACAGCCAGTGTTATTGGAATCCAGGAAAAGACCCTATTACCTTTGTAACATTAAAAAATATGGATATATTGATGGTAAAAATGAATATCAAGGTAATAACAAGAAATGCCAACTTGCCCGAATATATTAAGAAAAAAAACAAAAGCGCTTCTAGAAGAAATTCATGAAAAACACACTGAGAGCGAAAGAAACAATTTTTGTTTTCTGGTCCAACATAACCTTAGAGGCATTAATGCTGATACTGGCACTGACATTTTTTTTATTTATAAACCTAAATATAATTAACTAGGCTTATTACCTTTTTAACTTTACTTTCAATAATTTCAGTTAGCTTTTTACCTTTTTTTGTTGACTTGTTAACCTTTTCTTTCAACTTAATTTCCAGTAGGTAATCTATCATCCAAGGGTTAATCTAATTTCTCAAATGCCAAAATAAGATGTACAGCCATGTAGCAGGATCTTTGCTGAATGGCTGGATATAGATATTGTGCTTCTAGACCTCACTAATTGACGAAGGGGGGACTTCATTTGTAAGGTAAGTGATCAAAAATGGTAACTTGCCTTATAAAAGGTATAACTTGTCAGCCATGTCTCTGTTGTAGGTGTTGATGCTGCAGGAAGGATCTTCTGTAGAGGTCTGTCTTGCAACAGATCTGGAGAAGCCTCTGACTCAAGACACTCTGTTGTCGTTTAAAAATCTTCAGAAGAAGATGCTCAATGTTACGGAGCCCCTCTTATGACATGGTCAAAAAAAATGTTTAATTGTGGCCACGAAGTAGTATTTCGTGCGCACGTTATANAAGTAGTATTTCGTGCGCACGTTATACTTATTGCGTGGCCACGAAATACTACTTTGTGCGCACGAAATACTACTTCGTGGCCACAATAAAATTTTTTTTTTGACCATGTCATCAGAGGGGCTCCGTACAATGTTGTCCATACTTTTCTTCACTTTATGAAGAGTTTTATGATTATTATTAAGAGTTTTTATGAACTTTCCTTGTTTTTTCCCTCTGAACTAGGTAATTAGAAAGCCTAAGAAGTCTTCTTCTTCTTTTATTAGTTTAATGGCAGATTGCAACCTTGACTTTTATATATATATTTATATATATATATGTGAATATATAATATGAATATATATATATGAATATATACATGCACACATACATATATCAGAATCAGAAATACTTTAATAATCCCAGAGGGAAATTACTTAATTTACTTAAATACCCATATCTATATCTATATATAAAATCTCTATATTTTTATATCCATCCCTCTCTCTCAATTTTTATATATATATACCTACACCTACATATTTTAAATCTTATTGTATAATCCTATATTCTTAAGATTGTTTATTTACTAGTAATGTATTTCTTCCCCTCTCCGGTTGTTCCAGTTAATCCCTCCAGATTCTACTCCCTTCCTATTTGTCTTGTCTTTTGTTTTAATCTTATCCTTTCTTCAAAATATTTCCTACAATTTAGTAATATATGTTCTACATTTTCTATTACTTTACAGCCTAAAAAGTTTCCCTGATTTTGTCTTTATCACATATTTAACTAAAGGAACAGAAAAAGTCATTAAAGTTCTATAAATAACAGACTTAATGTCCCTTTAGTAATACTTATTTAAACTGTAAAAGACCAGAAAATATATTAGATAAAGCGAATGATCCGGTTCTTTGATCGTATCATTCATTTGAAGCAGTTCCTGTCACTCAAAGGAACCGCCGTTCCCATCGCTACGCAGCAGAGGATGCTACCGGAACCATGGAGACAGGCCGGACCGTTGAGGTGCATTCACTTACTCCCAGAAAGTGGGAATTGTTGTGACCCATCTGAAGCAATCGTTTAAAATGCAGCCGCGTTTGGGCTGGATTGGCAGGTTTTCCTAAACACATATAAAAAAACGTCTTGAGAAAATAACTTTGATAATATCCCAGTTAGTAAACTTTTTATAAAGGTTTAATTAAACAGATACTCGTTAACTGCTCCCGAGTGTCACTGAACGCAGCGTTAGCTTCGGCAGGACCTGCTGGGCTGATTTAGTCCCTAACAGGCGGCCGTAGTTCTCAGCTGCAGAATAACGATGCTGTTTAGCGATTAATAAAATATCACCGGCAGCCATAAAGAAGAGGACACGTCTCAGGTAAAAACACCCAAAGAAATGAAGCTAGCAGCTAGGAGCTAACGAGTTAGCTTAAAACCGGAAGTAGGAACAGATCGCTGAAGCTGAACCAGACAGTAAACAAGAGAGAAATGAATATTAAACTTCCACAGAGAAGCAGGAACCGGGCTGATGTGACCCGAACCTTCATCAGATCTGGTATTTATGATCTATTTTAGGAGTTTCTACAGCTCTGACAGCTTCTAGCTGTAAAGGTGAGCTAAGCTCGGGGAGAAGTTTGTTCCTGGGGGCCTGATCCACCTGCTGATAGAAGCAGAACATCTCTGACTTTCCTCCATATTCTCAGTTCCAGGAGGTCAGAAGATGTTTGTTTCCTCTCAGCTCTCTGAAGCCCCCATCAGAGCTTCTAAGGCTGTGATATGGACTTTGACTAGGACATTAAAACACCTTTCTGTTCCTTTTAACCCATCCAGGTTTTGTGAATTGGTGCTATATAAATAAACTGAATTTAACTGAATAGATCAAATGCTGCTTTGGGCTATTTTTCTTTAAAGTCATAGGAAAATCATATTTAAATTTCAAATCACTCTGGCTTAAACATGTATATAAATGTTCTCTTTATCAGACCATATTGTCCCAAAATTTAGAAATTTCTAATTTAGAAAAAATCCTGTCTTAAAATCTGTGTTTTTTTTT